GCCGTTAAATAAGGCTGATCTGAGAGCAGAGAGCACCAGAACCCGGACCGGGCCACAGTGGAGAGGACATGAAGCTGCAGAGACGCAACATCAACATGCTGCTGGTGAGAGTCTGATCTATTAACTGTAATTCTGGGTTTCATTTTCACACCATCTGAAAACAGGAAACTTTCCATTTTTCTAATGATTTGAAAGCTTCTGTTCCCTCAGCGTGTTTGATGTAGAGTCAGACTGAGGTTGGGTTCTGATGTTCGGTTCTGCTGAGCCGCTGGGGTTTATTACGGTTCTGTTGGATCTGATTTTATCTCCATTCCCTTCTAATGAAACACGGTTCATGTTTTGCCCCATTTGTCCAAAAGCTGTTCTCTGATTCTTTTTGGGGGGGTTTGGTTCTGACATAGAAGAACTGTTCAATTCGTAACCAGATCTGATTCTTAAACTCCAGCATCACTTTATCTGTTTAATAAAACCAAAGTCTTGATTTTCTTTTCTGTGTTTTTTATTGTGTTCTTATCTGTATAAGCATCTTTATGTTCCTCTCAATATGAAGACATCTCTATGAATGTGTACTAATTATCATCTGTTTATTTAAAGGCTTATTTAACCAGCTGGTTTAGAAACCTTTAGTTTCTGTATTATGAGTCTCGTCTGGGTTTAATTGATCTTGATTCTTTTATCCTCCAACAAAGGGGGGGGGGGGCTTGCTTTTGACCATGGGTGTCCTTTCATTTCATCTTGAGGAATTGTTTCAAATGAAATCTTAAATGTTCATAAAGGTGTAAAATCTCATCATTTATTGCATTATAGTTTATCTAAAGATATCAGCCATGGATCTGATCTCAGTCTGGCTGGATCCTTTTCAATCGGAGTTAAATGGATGTTGTCACACTGAATTAATCTCTGTGGGACTGGTTTGGACTCAGTTAGACTGGGTCAGACTCAGTTGGACTGGTTTGTACTCAGTTGGACTGGTTTGTACTCAGTTGGACTGGGTCAGACTCAGTTGGACTGGGTCAGACTAAGTTGGACTGGGTCAGACTCAGTTGGACTGGGTCAGACTCAGTTGGACTGGTTTGTACTCAGTTGGACTGGTTCAGACTCAGTTGGACTGGGTCAAACCAAGTTGGACTGGGTCAGACTCAGTTTGACTGGGTCAGACTAAGTTGGACTGGGTCAGACTCAGTTGGACTGGGTCAGACTAAGTTGGACTGGTTTGTACTCAGTTGGACTGGTTCAGACTCAGTTGGACTGGGTCAGACTCAGTTGGACTGGGTCAGACCAAGTTGGACTGGGTCAGACTCAGTTGGACTGGGTCAGACCAAGTTGGACTGGGTCAGACCAAGTTGGACTGGGTCAGACTCAGTTGGACTGGGTCAGACTAAGTTGGACTGGGTCAGACTCAGTTGGACTGGGTCAGACTAAGTTGGACTGGGTCAGAATCAGTTGGACTGGGTCAGACTCAGTTGGACTGGGTCAGACCAAGTTGGACTGGGTCAGACTAGGTTGGACTGGGTCAGACCAAGTTGGACTGGGTCAGACTAGGTTGGACTGGGTCAGACTAAGTTGGGCTGGGTCGGACTCAGTTGGACTGGGTCACACTCAGTTAGACTGGGTCAGACTAAGTTGGACTGGGTCAGACTCAGTTGGACTGGGTCAGACTAAGTTGGACTGGGTCAAACCAAGTTGGACTGGGTCAGACTCAGTTGGACTGGGTCAGACTAGGTTGGACTGGGTCAGACTCAGTTGGACTGGGTCAGACTCAGTTGGACTGGGTCAGACTAGGTTGGACTGGGTCACACTCAGTTAGACTGGGTCAGACTAAGTTGGACTGGGTCAGACTCAGTTGGACTGGGTCAAACCAAGTTGGACTGGGTCAGACTCAGTTGGACTGGGTCAGACCAAGTTGGACTGGGTCAGACTAGGTTGGACTGGGTCAGACCAAGTTGGACTGGGTCAGACTAAGTTGGGCTGGGTCAGACTCAGTTGGACTGGGTCAGACTAGGTTGGACTGGGTCAGACTAGGTTGGACTGGGTCAGACCAAGTTGGACTGGGTCAGACTAGGTTGGACTGGGTCAGACCAAGTTGGACTGGGTCAGACTAAGTTGGGCTGGGTCAGACTCAGTTGGACTGGGTCAGACCAAGTTGGACTGGGTCAGACTAGGTTGGACTGGGTCAGACCAAGTTGGACTGGGTCAGACTAGGTTGGACTGGGTCAGACCAAGTTGGACTGGGTCAGACTAGGTTGGACTGGGTCAGACTAGGTTGGACTGGGTCAGACCAAGTTGGACTGGGTCAGACTAGGTTGGACTGGGTCAGACTCAGTTAGACTGGGTCAGACCAGGTTGGACTGGGTCAGACCAAGTTGGACTGGGTCAGACTAGGTTGGACTGGGTCAGACTCAGTTAGACTGGGTCAGACTAGGTTGGACTGGGTCAGACCAAGTTGGACTGGGTCAGACTAGGTTGGACTGGGTCAGACTCAGTTAGACTGGGTCACACTAGGTTGGACTGGGTCAGACCAAGTTGGACTGGGTCAGACTAAGTTGGGCTGGGTCAGACTCAGTTGGACTGGGTCAGACCAAGTTGGACTGGGTCAGACTAGGTTGGACTGGGTCAGACCAAGTTGGACTGGGTCAGACTAAGTTGGACTGGGTCAGACCAGGTTGGACTGGGTCAGACCAAGTTGGACTGGGTCAGACTAGGTTGGACTGGGTCAGACTCAGTTAGACTGGGTCAGACTAGGTTGGACTGGGTCAGACCAAGTTGGACTGGGTCAGACTAGGTTGGACTGGGTCAGACTCAGTTAGACTGGGTCAGACTAGGTTGGACTGGGTCAGACCAAGTTGGACTGGGTCAGAATAAGTTGGGCTGGGTCAGACTCAGTTGGACTGGGTCAGACTCAGTTGGACTGGGTCAGACCAAGTTGGACTGGGTCAGACTAGGTTGGACTGGGTCAGACCAAGTTGGACTGGGTCAGACTAAGTTGGGCTGGGTCAGACTCAGTTGGACTGGGTCAGACTCAGTTGGACTGGGTCAGACTAGGTTGGACTGGGTCAGACTAGGTTGGACTGGGTCAGACCAAGTTGGACTGGGTCAGACTAGGTTGGACTGGGTCAGACCAAGTTTGACTGGGTCAGACTAAGTTGGACTGGGTCAGACCAGGTTGGACTGGGTCAGACCAAGTTGGACTGGGTCAGACTAGGTTGGACTGGGTCAGACTCAGTTAGACTGGGTCAGACTAGGTTGGACTGGGTCAGACCAAGTTGGACTGGGTCAGACTAGGTTGGACTGGGTCAGACTCAGTTAGACTGGGTCACACTAGGTTGGACTGGGTCAGACCAAGTTGGACTGGGTCAGACTAAGTTGGGCTGGGTCAGACTCAGTTGGACTGGGTCAGACTCAGTTGGACTGGGTCAGACTCAGTTAGACTGGGTCAGACTCAGTTGGACTGGGTCAGACTCAGTTGGACTGGGTCAAACCAAGTTGGACTGGGTCAGACTCAGTTGGACTGGGTCAGACTAGGTTGGACTGGGTCAGACTAGGTTGGACTGGGTCAGACCAAGTTGGACTGGGTCAGACTAGGTTGGACTGGGTCAGACTCAGTTGGACTGGGTCAGACCAAGTTGGACTGGGTCAGACTAAGTTGGACTGGGTCAGACTAGGTTGGACTGGGTCAGACCAAGTTGGACTGGGTCAGACTAGGTTGGACTGGGTCAGACCAAGTTGGACTGGGTCAGACTAGGTTGGACTGGGTCAGACCAAGTTGGACTGGGTCAGACTAAGTTGGACTGGGTCAGACCAGGTTGGACTGGGTCAGACCAAGTTGGACTGGGTCAGACTAAGTTGGACTGGGTCAGACTAGGTTGGACTGGGTCAGACCAAGTTGGACTGGGTCAGACTAGGTTGGACTGGGTCAGACCAAGTTGGACTGGGTCAGACTAGGTTGGACTGGGTCAGACCAAGTTGGACTGGGTCAGACTAAGTTGGACTGGGTCAGACCAGGTTGGACTGGGTCAGACCAAGTTGGACTGGGTCAGACTAGGTTGGACTGGGTCAGACTCAGTTAGACTGGGTCAGACTAGGTTGGACTGGGTCAGACCAAGTTGGACTGGGTCAGACTAGGTTGGACTGGGTCAGACTCAGTTGGACTGGGTCAGACTAGGTTGGACTGGGTCAGACTAGGTTGGACTGGGTCAGACCAAGTTGGACTGGGTCAGACTAGGTTGGACTGGGTCAGACCCAGTTGGACTGGGTCAGACTAAGTTGGGCTGGGTCAGACTCAGTTGGACTGGGTCAGACCAAGTTGGACTGGGTCAGACTAGGTTGGACTGGGTCAGACCAAGTTGGACTGGGTCAGACTAGGTTGGACTGGGTCAGACCAAGTTGGACTGGGTCAGACTAGGTTGGACTGGGTCAGACCAAGTTGACCTGGGTCAGACTAAGTTGGACTGGGTCAGACCAGGTTGGACTGGGTCAGACCAAGTTGGACTGGGTCAGACTAGGTTGGACTGGGTCAGACTCAGTTAGACTGGGTCAGACTAGGTTGGACTGGGTTAGACCAAGTTGGACTGGGTCAGACTAGGTTGGACTGGGTCAGACCAAGTTGGACTGGGTCAGACTAGGTTGGACTGGGTCAGACTCAGTTAGACTGGGTCAGACTAGGTTGGACTGGGTCAGACTAGGTTGGACTGGGTCAGACCAAGTTGGACTGGGTCAGACTAGGTTGGACTGGGTCAGACCCAGTTGGACTGGGTCAGACTAAGTTGGGCTGGGTCAGACTCAGTTGGACTGGGTCAGACCAAGTTGGACTGGGTCAGACTAGGTTGGACTGGGTCAGACCAAGTTGGACTGGGTCAGACTAGGTTGGACTGAGTCAGACCAAGTTGGACTGGGTCAGACTAAGTTGGGCTGGGTCAGACTAGGTTGGACTGGGTCAGACTCAGTTGGACTGGGTCAGACTAGGTTGGACTGGGTCAGACTAGGTTGGACTGGGTCAGACCAAGTTGGACTGGGTCAGACTAGGTTGGACTGGGTCAGACCCAGTTGGACTGGGTCAGACTAAGTTGGGCTGGGTCAGACTCAGTTGGACTGGGTCAGACCAAGTTGGACTGGGTCAGACTAGGTTGGACTGGGTCAGACCAAGTTGGACTGGGTCAGACTAGGTTGGACTGGGTCAGACCAAGTTGGACTGGGTCAGACTAGGTTGGACTGGGTCAGACCAAGTTGACCTGGGTCAGACTAAGTTGGACTGGGTCAGACCAGGTTGGACTGGGTCAGACCAAGTTGGACTGGGTCAGACTAGGTTGGACTGGGTCAGACTCAGTTAGACTGGGTCAGACTAGGTTGGACTGGGTCAGACCAAGTTGGACTGGGTCAGACTAAGTTGTGCTGGGTCAGACTCAGTTGGACTGGGTCAGACTCAGTTGGACTGGGTCAGACTCAGTTGGACTGGGTCAGACCAAGTTGGACTGGGTCAGACCAAGTTGGACTGGGTCAGACCAAGTTGGACTGGGTCAGACTAGGTTGGACTGGGTCAGACTCAGTTAGACTGGGTCAGACTAGGTTGGACTGGGTCAGACCAAGTTGGACTGGGTCAGACTAAGTTGTGCTGGGTCAGACTCAGTTGGACTGGGTCAGACTCAGTTGGACTGGGTCAGACTCAGTTGGACTGGGTCAGACTAGGTTGGACTGGGTCAGACCAAGTTGGGCTGGGTCAGACTCAGTTGGACTGGGTCAGACTCAGTTAGACTGGGTCAGACTAAGTTGGACTGGGCTGGGCTTGATGTGACCCAGTGGCTCCACCCACTAAGACTGGGCTGAGCTCGGTCGTTCTGATCAGACCCAGCTAATCTGATGAAAGCTGTAGTTTGAGCAATAAGGTAAAGATGATTTGGAAGATAAATGTTGATAAAAAATGAATTAAAAACTGTGATTGCTGCCAACATTCACAGGTGCTGCCTTATTCTTGTGTTCCTCAGGTATTGTGCATTGCATTGTGGGTCGCCTCCTCAGGAGAACCAGCTCCTCCTCCTCTCTGTAACTCCACCCTGGTGTTCTCCTCTGTGATCTCCTCCCCATCAGCAGGAAGCGGAAACATCCACCTTCGGTCTCTGTCGCCGTGGACCTGGAGGTCAGCCTTGTAGAACTTTCTCCTTCTGTAGTTTGCGGCTGTAATCTTGTTCCTAATTCTGACATCCGTTCTTGCAGAACCACGACAGTAAAGAACCGGATCCCTGAAACCATCTGGGAGGCCGAATGCAGCAGCGAGTTCTGTGTCTCTCCCAAACCAGGACAGGCAGGGAGTCACAATCTGAACTCGGTCCCCGTCTACCAGAGCGTACTGGTCCTGACTCGGATGAAGGGGAGTCGCTGCTACGCCGCCTCATATAAGTCTGTGGCAGTTGGCTGCACCTGTGTCCGAGCCTCTGTTGACACGAACTGATTCAATTCAGCAAACAGAACCACTGAATTTTGCCCAAAACGATTTTGATACTATATTTAACCATAAAGTTCAATCTGAGGACATGCAGCTGAGAAACCAAATTACTGCCAAGAACCTTGAAAACATCCAAATTAAAGTTTAGTTTTGATCCAGTTTCCTGTTGTCATATTGCCTGTATAAAAAGCTCCTCAGAGGTTCTTTGGGTTCTTCTGAGTTTCCTACAAACATGTGTCTCTGAAGCTGGACTCCAATCAGATGGTTTTGCTCAACATCGGGTTCTGAACAGTTTCATTAGTAGTTTGGGTTACAGGAAGTCCGTTCTAGAAGATGCTAACCAGGCTTTGGATCCATTTGCTGTAAAGCTTTCAGTCTAAACCACATGATGTTTACATCCTGAAACAAACAGGATCTTTATCATTTCCACTTGAAATAAAGAAGCTCAGCTGATCTGGGCTGAAGTTTGGTTTACGATCTGCTTTATTTTCTCTCTATTTAATTATATAATCATTTATTTAAATGTATACGGTTTGAAATTATTTACAACATGATTTGTCTCACTTTTAATAAAACTGTTTCATAAAACCAAAGCAGCAGGTGTGTTTATTGAGCAGATCAACGTCTGCTGGAATGAACTATGGTTGGAATCACCTTTTATTAAAACTCTCTCAGCATCCTATCAGATTTATCTATTTATCTATTTATTTGTTTGTTAAAAATAAAACCGAGGCAAAGAAATGTTAATAAATTCTGTCTAATTCTTGTTTGTTGATGTTGTAATTATTCTCTTCCAATTTCTGTCAATTTCTTTTTCCTTGGTTTTAATAAACCAAGGAAAACAGACTGGTGATTGATGGAAATTACCCAAAATAAGAGTAAACGCTGAAACGCTGTGAATTTGTTTGCCCAAACATTTAAATTTAAGGCTTAAAATAATTTAAGCAGGCAGACAGATATGTGCAAACACTGGTTTTTAAAAGGTAAAATAAAACCAAAATGTGAATAGAATTTAAAATCCTCCTTCTCACATATAAAGCCTTAAATGGCCAAGCTCCATCTGATATCAGAGATCTGATTGTTCCTTATGTTCCTAACAGAGCACTTCGCTCTCAATCTGCAGGTTTCATTGCTTTCATGTTTTTACATCATCTCAGGTCGCTTTATAGATCCAGATCAACCAGATCATCCAGTCAGATTGATTCAAAGTTTTCTATCTAAGGAAAACCAGCTGATTGCATCGACTCATTGACTCTTCAGCAATCCCTCACACTAAGCATGCTTGTAGCGACAGTGGAGAGGAAAGACTCCCTTTGAACAGCAAGAAACCTCCAGCAGAACCAGGCTCAGTGTGAGCGGCCATCTGCTGAGGCCCACTGGGGTTCAAGGAGACAGAAGCAGACATAGAAAAAGAAGCATAGATACAAAAGGCAACTGTCAACCAGCTCCACAGGCGGCCCCGTCCAGGAAACACACAGCCAGGCAGACGAGCTCCGAGCCAGCTCCCATGTCAGAGGGACTGGTTTCAGGGGTCTTCCTCCTTTCCTGTCTTTCAAAACCAGAATGTTGGGTTAACATTAAATACCATTAGTTGTGTTTTTCCCATGTCTCTCCATACAAATCTATAGACGGACTTGTTCTTGGTTGACCTGTAACCGTCGAGTCCCCTTGGTTTCCATCAATCTTACTTTAGAACCATCCTGGTCTTCCTCAGGTATTGACTGATGGACGTCACCCTGATAAATGTTGCAGTACTTTGGTGCAACAAAGTTTTTTTCATTTCTCTATAATCCTCAGAACAACAACCTGGATCATTGAAAAAAAATGGTGGTTACGGTTGTGTGTTCTCCACCCCTTAGAAGATCAAGCCAACCCCGTTTAACTTCTACTAATAAATCAGTAGTTGGTAGAGCAATAAAGCTATAAAGCTATCAATCCTATATGGATCCACTAGGCTGGACTGCAGCTTTAATCTATAAATAAAGTCACTTTAAATCAAAATCACTATAAATATGATTTTGAACATTTTGAACTGAAAAAGCTTCCTGGATGGGAAGCGAAACATCTTCAAACTTGGAAACAAAGTCCAGTGGATGTTTTTCTTTCTTTTTTTAATAACTATGACCTGGATGACTGAGAATCCTTAAAGCATATAAATATGGATCCTAAAGAACATCAGACTGTTCTGCTTCATGTTTTTCAGGGTTTAGCTCAGTTTTGGTTTGTCCTCTTCCTTAGTTTATGATATTTAAAGGAGCTGCATGAAGCTCAGGGACTTTTGCATGTTCAGTTCAGACTAGCTCTCTGTGAGTCCAGCCCATTTTTTCTCCTCTGTCTTTTCACGTCCAAAACATTCTGCAGAGATTCTCATTTAAGCGTAATTCAGCCTAAATTCCAGTGGAAACAAGGACACAGTGTGGATCCAGTCATGTGAGAGGCAGAGTGGGACAGCAGGAGGAACTGCTCACAGCAGAACCAGCTCAGGTAGGACTGTTTCAGCAGGTCGCTGAATGAATGAGGACTTAGGCGGGTCTGATCTGCGTCAGACTTCCTGAGGTGAGTTCAGCTGGAGTTTAACTGTAGATTAATCTCAGGAGATTTCTTTGCCCTGATGAGGTTTTGGACCTCAGCATGTGTTTAAGCAGGACAGGACGGATCCGTCCTCTGGGACATTCTGGATCTCTTAAATAAACAACCAGTAAATCAGCCTGAATAGTTTATAAAAAGGTGCCTTATGATGAGCTGATTAAATCTGGACCTTTTTATGATCAATAATTAAATCTAAATGATCAATTCTCCATCAGGATGAAGCGTTGGTTCATCCAGCAGAGGGCGCTGCTGGAATATTTTTAATAGTGGAGAAATTTACTTGTTTCATGGCTGAAAACTTCATCTTTGGATGTTTTCTGACGGAAAGGTTCAGGTTCCTGAGTAGAATCTCTGTAAAGCTGATAGGAACATTAAATAAAACTTTTATTTATGAAGCAAACATTAAACTAAATGAACTTCACTGCAGATGAGCCACAGGTATGTTTTCTGACCTCTCTGACCTCTCTGACCTCTTCCATACCTGTGGACCCCTCAGCACACCTCTGGACCAGTTTCCATCATGACGCGTTTGTCCTTCGCCACCCCGTCCGTCTGCTCTTCACTCCTCCCCTCCCTCCCCCCCACCGTCAGGGACCTGGATGTCCCGCCTCTGTTCCGGAGACGCTTCGTCCTTGGGGGGTACCGTCCGGTGGGCCAGCCATGGCGGCTTTACCTTCAGAGCTTATTCCAGATGCACAACGACGCCTTGACTGTGTGGAGCCCCCTGTTGGCCGCTGTGGTGATAGCACTGAGGTTCATGATGTTCACCGTGCTGCGAGGAGGGGTACGGCACTGATGGGCCCCATGATGTCCTCACCTTCGTCCATCCTCACCTCTGATTTCTGTGCCTCTATAGGGGGTCTTGGGTTTCCGCCTGCAAGGTCCTGAAGGTCAGGGTCTTTCAGTAGATGTGTCTTCATTACCTCTGGTCTTCTACATGTTCTTCACCCTCACATACCTGAGCTGCAGGTGAGTTTTATTTATTTATTTTAAAAAAAAAGTTTGTGATTACAGCCACAGACAGGGAACTTCTTTAACCAACCAAAACAATCTGGAGCTGAGAAGACGAAGGAAAAGGACTTTTAATTTCAACCATCTGAAAAGTGTGGATTGTCTTTATATTCACCTTCCTGAGTCAGTCTAGCTGCACGAATTTTTGGGGTTTGTCTCCACCCGCTTTGCAAATCTGCAGACTGAATCTCTTGTCAGTTCTAATTGAAAACTTTGGTTCTATAAGGTTTTAAGGACCTTTTGTCGACACCTTTAACACAAAAGCAGCAAAAAGTACATAAAACAAATGGTTGACCACATTTCTGTTTGACCTTTGAATTTTCATAAATTACTTGAAATGCAACAACAGGCTTGATTTGAGAAACAGTCTGGGAGCGGCCATCTTTGCCCAAATCTAGTAGCCCCTCCCTCCTGCCATCTTCCAGCAGTGACGTCACGGTGCGGTAAGCCTAGCGCCATTCTCCCCGCTTTCCAAGCTAAATCAATGGGAACTACTAGACACATCTGCAATCAACAACAATTATTGAAGATTTCCAGAGGACTTCACCATTGAAATTCACCAGAGCTATAGTGAAACTGACAATGCCCACGTGCATGGCAGCTGGATGCTGGAATACATCGGGTAAAAGTGGAAAAAAGAGTTATTCCACCTTTCTGATTCCTGATCCTCCACGGACGGGTTGGTCGTTGGATCGCCAACTTGAAGAGGGAGGATTTGCCATCGAACTTCTGGCCAGAGAAAAAACCCGTAATATGTAGCCAACATTTGGAAGAAGAATGTTTTCAAGATGACTTGGATAATAGCGCGTTGTGACAAACACCAGATACAGCACTGGGACTTGATCAACAGCCGATACCGCACCGTGACAATGTCACTAACCAGTAGGTGGCAGTAGTGTTCTTTGACAAACATGGATGCCTCCAGTAAAGCACATTCACATGAAAATGACTCTGAATTAAAAACACTGATCATTTATTGAACAGGATGGAATCATTTCAGATTTAAAGAACTTTCAGAAGTTTGAATTCTGAATATGAGCGACTTTTCCTTTAAATAAATTATTGTTACAGAGATGCCTCCATATTATTTACTCTGCAATGCATTGAGGTGTTTAACATGGAGTCTAGGTCCTGTAGCGAGTATTGAGGCTCTGCTGGGAACGTCTGACTGAGCCCTTGAGGCAGCAAGCAGGTATCATGATGCTAACTGATGCTAAGTTGTTCGGGTGAATGCAGAGGTAACAACTTGGACAGTTCAGACCAGTTGGCCTTAAAGCAACTAGCAAACCACCCAGAACCTCAAGAGGGGGAAGCAGTGCTTTGCTAAGACTGTTTATAGTGAGAGCTGCTGACCTGATATGATCAGATGGAAGGAATACTGTGATCAAAGAAGAGATTCGGTGCTTGGACCTGGATTGATTGATTGATTACCACGACTGAAATCACAGAGGTGGTCAAAAAAGTCCAGGGGGGTGAAGAGATCCACCCAGAGCACCTTAGATGTTATTGGGCTGTCATGGCTGACACTCCTCTGTAAGAGGAACATAAAGAGTGTTGTAGAATCTAACCCAAAATATGATTAACACTTAGAGTTGCCAACAATAATCCTTTAAATCAGGAGTCTTCAAGGTTTTCCAGGCCAAGGACCCCACACTGATGGTGAGATGGAGCGGAGACCCTCTGATTATATATATTGTGTTCTATCAAACTGGTCCTATAGTCACTCTATTACAGATGGAGTAATGTAACTAAAGTAATCCCTCCCTGGGATTATTAAAGTATTTCTGCTTCCTGGTTGATGGGACAGGGGTTGTGAATGAAACGGTGTCCAGCTTGAAAGAGCTCCTGTGTGTCTCTGAATGTGAGCATTGATGACTGAAAGACATCTTCTGTCTCCATTTATCTGTTTACTGCAGTCTGTTGGATTCATGTTCATGTGGATTTAAAGACATTTCAATTAGTGGAAAAAACTGCAGGAGGGAATAAAAAAACCAAAACTTTGGTGACCCCCATGCAGTACCTCTGTGGACCCCCTAAAGGTTGTGGACCCCCTGTTGAAGACCTCCACTTTAGACCAACCACTGAAAGAGCTAGGCAGAGCACAAAAAAAAAAGTATTATATATATTACTAATATTACGTAGCAAATACTACCTAATATTAGCAATATGTAAACTACTGAGATTTAACACATATAGAAAAAAGTTCTTTAAATGCTGAAAATCACCTCAAAATGCATGAAGTACAGATTAAAACATGTTTCATCACATAAACACCAACCTTGTGCCACTTCAGAGGCTGCAAATCCTTCAAATTAAGCTTATTATTTTTTACTATCTTTCGTCTTTTACTACGTTTAATTCTCAGCCTCTTCTTCTCTGTTTCTTACCAACTAAAACCCGATCACGTAGTTTCAAAGTAAAGTCCCTTAAAACAAGGTAAAATGTAAAGCATTATAAATTCACAAAAATAATGGAGGCAAAAATAATATTTTATAGTAAATTTAAACTGTAATATTTCCTGCAGCAAAAGTAGAAAATGGTTCACTTTCAAGCAGAACGTCAGAGACTGAACTAACAAATACTGCAGAATGGGAGAATAGAGATGATGGACGGGTCCCTTTGTCCTCCGTCTGATGACTGACGGTCGATGTGACGCAATGAGCTGCTGTCTGCCTGACCTTTGACCTCCTCTGTGTTGCAGTGCAGCTGCTCACCTTTTGAAGCTCCACTCTGAGCGAGCTCACTACCTGCTCTTCCTCCTCAACAATGTGGGCGGGGCCATGTACCTGTACTGCTGCGCCTCTGCACTTTACCTCTACAGCACCGACTACACCTGGACACAAAGCATGCTGGGAAAGGTTGGGCTGTTTGGTTACCCTGGGTAAACAGTGGATAAATGCTGGACAGCGTTATCTGAATCCTGCTGATTAGAAGATAGATGCTGATTAGATGTAGAATCAGTTGCTGGGAAATGTGCGTTCCTGGTTTTTCCAGACGGTGTTTCTGGTTTCAGATCTTCCTCCCGGCTGCAGCGTTTCTCTGCTGGACCTCCTGCTGCGTCTCCTGTCATGTTGAGGTCCGTTCCTGCTGGACGAGCAGATTCCACAGGAGGCTCTACAGCCTGACCATGATCACTGCTACCGGCCCCGTCGCTCACCGCCTCACCAGCAACAGCTGGGCAGGCAGCCCCGCAGCTTCACTGCATCTCCTCCAGGTGGCGCTCACCATGAAGGCTCTCATCTAATTGCTGCTTAATTAAGAATAATAACAGTCTAAATTCTGATTAGGATTAGATAAGATCAGGTTAGACTTTATTGATCTCATGACGGAGAAATTCTGTTGTGACATCGGCTCTAAAAACAACAGAAAGTGCAAAAGAAGGCAAAGGTGCATCAAAGAAGTAAATTTACAGATCTATATTGAGTTTGATGATATTTTATTCTATCCACCAGATGGTGCTGTCCCTGTTTGCAGCCTTCTTCTTCTCCTGCTCCTCACCTGAGTGTTTCTCCCCGGGCAGCTTTGATCTCCTCGGTCACAGCCAACAGCTCTTTCATGTCCTGCTGTCACTCTGCGTCATGGTCCAGCAGGAGGCGCTGTTCTGCGACTTCCTGTGGAGACGCCCTGCACTGTCCCGGCTCTTTGGGGAGGAGCACCTCCTGCTGGTCTGCAACTCCTTCTGCTGGTTGACCTTCTGCTGCGGCGTAACGGCGCTCGTCCTGAGCAGCAGAGTTTGGACTCGGCTCACCACAGAAGAAGAAGGGTGACGTCGTATTTTAGGTAGTCTCCCAATAATCATACTTCCACCCTTACATGTAAGGGTTTGGTTCTAACTGAACTGTACGTAGGATTAAAAAACTGTTGCTTGTTACAGTTTTAAAGTATTTTTTGCAGTAAGATCACAGTGACGGCTCCCGCCATTTTGGATGTCCCAGACGCCATGATGTAACCTTCACTCTCCCAACTCTGGACTCTGTCCTTTAACGAGGACATTCACTTCATTAAGGGACAGAGTGTGTAGTGCGGGCACTGGGACAAGTCACTGCTTTCCCATCACAGATCAATAAACCAGTGAGATGTAACTGGTTCTGATGCTTTAACTGCATACTTTCCCACAGTCCACACATGTCGGCCATCTTGGATTCTGCTGTTGTGGTTGAAGGGACCAACAGGAATAAATAAATAATAAATAATAATAAATACACCTGAACTAAATTGAATGTTTTAACCATTTCATTGTTTCTAAGCGTGATTTTTCTTTAAACAACGAAATTAATAATTAAAGTGACCAATATTACATGAATAAAATATATTTAAATTCCACACCTTTGTTTAGACTTATTATATTTTAACCAGTATTGTTGTTTTAGGTGGAAATTGACCCATTTGGTCTGATTTTAGATCTATCTGTCCGGGTTAAGTCAGGACTTGTTGCTTTAAGGTCTCACGAACTGTACATGAGTGAAGTGTTCCCGCCTTTAACTCCTGCTGATCTTTGAGGGGCATACAGGAATTATAAACGGTGATTAAAAAACAACAACACAGCAATAACTCGGCTGCAGAGGAAAATCAGCAGCTGGCCGCTCTCATATTTCCTTGGGTAGGGAGAGCCAGACCTTGAGAGAAACCTGGAAGACCTGGAGGAGGTTATTTTGGAGAAAGCAAAGGGACCTTCTCAGCACTGGGCTGTTCCACACAAGCTAAGCTGCTAAAGAGAGTTATTTATTAGCATGCCTTCTAAAAATGTAGGTCTAAGATATAAGACTTATATCTAAGATAAAAGATATATATTCAGATTTATGTTATAAGATATGAATATACAGATATAAGAAAAACATTTAGATTTAAGATACATACTTAGCTTTATATGTAAAACTGTAAGTGGTGTCAGGTGCAAACGTTCAACCAGCTACGTTTTGGTTGAGGGTTTTAACCCCAGGATAACTCTGTCATTGTGTCACTGAGCCAGGCATTTCTCCACCATGTCATGATCTGGCCTGTTTGCTCTCCCTTAATTAGTCATTCCTCTCACCTGTCGTTTTCCCTCCCTGCCTCAATTATAATTTATTCCTCTCACCTGTTTCCTCTGGTTTATATTCAGTTCAGCCTGTTTTTCTGTCAGTCTGTCTGTTCAGTTTATTTCTTGGTTCCTGTCCTGGATCCTAGCTGCCAGTGGAAAGAAGTTTTAGTGTTTGTCTCGTCTCCTGATCGTCCACTGTTCCTCCCCCGCGGAGTCCTCTGGATTTTTGGCTCAATATGTGGGGAGGTTCAGTTTTTATCCAGTAAGCCTGGCTCCAGGGAGGAGACCAGTTTAAAGTCCTGCTTCAAGTTCTGGTTCCACGTCCTGTCTCGGCTACCCTCTTCCACTGAGCCTGCTCATCTGCACCTGATCCTGTCTGCTCCTGTGCGTGACCACCTGGTCATGCTTCTGGTCCCAGTCAGACTCTGAACCCTCCTGGGAGCCTGTGCATGTCTGGAAGTCTGGATCCTGCCGCCTGTTTCTGCTCCTGCCTGATCTGGATCCTGTTCCTGTCTGTTCTGGATCCCTGACCAGGATCGGCTTCCAGCATGTCCTCTGGGACTGCAGCACTTGGGGACATTCTTGGACTGGACTGTTAAACCAGGTAAGTGGCCAACTCAGATAATCATCTTCTGTCAGATGATCGTGGTCACTTACCTGTGTTTCTCCTGCAGAGTGTCTGTGATTGGGCGGTGCCCCGCCCCCCGCATGCAGTGTCCGTGAGCCTCAGCTCCACTTTAGTTTTCTTTATTTAACAAACGTTTTGAACTTTCCGACTGACTGTCTCTCCGTGAATACTGGGTCCATCTGTCCTCGGTTCATGACACACTCTTGCTAACTGATGGTGGTCAGAGGGCCCGGCGTACGGAGGCATCGCTCCGGTCAGTGAGCTACAGGGAAGCTGTGGCTCTAACGTATCCTGCCACCATGCATGACTGACCGTAGTGTAGAGCGACTGGAAGACCTTTGACCTTCCAAAGATCCTATTAGAACCCACCCTTTGAGATTTACGTACGAGTACAGGATTTAAGTAAAGTTTTAAAAGTTATATTTAGCGTTTTCCCTTTAAATGTTAGAAAAAAAGCACTAAATGGAAAGAAAGTAAAAGAAATGTTACTACATATTTTATCAAATCTTCATATTCAGAGCTCCATAAAATACAAATTTTTAATTTATTCACATTTATTGCCTTACAACAAAAAATGAACACCCAGGCCTGCATTTTATTGGTAGTTATTGTGTTTTTCTGGCAGGTGCACAGATGTTCAGACAGAGAGCTTTTCACTCTTCATGTCCTGTTCCTCTGATCCAGCCCAGGCTCTACCTACATCAGACTAGCTTCTTCTCCAGGGTTGGATGTGTCGCTTCTAGAGATCTTATAGCTTCAGACTGAAGTTAACATTTGTGTGATAATCTAAAACATAGAAAAGCAAAAACAGTAGGAAGCTGAGAGCAGCTAAATGCTTATTCAGCACCGTGTTACCGCAGTGCGTTTAGTTTTTCAGCAGCCCTTTGAAGACTGGAGGTCATTTAGCTCTGTGGATAATATTCAGTGTTTCTCTAAGTTTCTACACTGAACATTCTTCCATCCTTTGTAAATATTGTCCTTTTTTCATGAAGACAGGGAGGGACCAGCTTTTATTCTCTCTAGCCTCTGGTTGTTTTGCCCTTCATGTGAGGATCTTATCTTTCAGCTTCATCGCTCCAGCAGTCGAGCAGAAAGTGTCGGTTAGACAGTTTGGGTGGAGCTGCTGATAAAGCTACAGTTTCAGGTTGATTTAGTCTTCAACAAGCTTATCAGCTGCAGCGGGTGGTGGGTATAAAAAACTACAAACACTCCTGCCTCTGCTGTGTTTCCTGGACGGGGCCGCCTGTGGAGCTGGTTGACAGTTGCCTTTTGTATCTATGCTTCTTTTTCTATGTCTGCTTCTGTCTCCTTGAACCCCAGTGGGCCTCAGCAGATGGCCGCTCACACTGAGCCTGGTTCTGCTGGAGGTTTCTTCCTGTTCAAAGGGAGTTTTTCCTCTCCACTGTCGCTACAAGCATGCTTAGTGTGAGGGATTGCTGAAGAGTCAATGAGTCGATGCAATCAGCTGGTTTTCCTTAGATAGAAAACTTTGAATCAATCTGACTGGATGATCTGGTTGATCTGGATCTATAAAGTGACCTGAGATGACATGATGTGAATTGGAGCTATAGAAATAAATTGAATTGTGGTCAAAATTACTACAGTTTTAGGTTCTGAACTGATCCAGAATGATCCAGAACCTGAAGATGGGGATGAAAAGCATGTTTCCACCTGCAGGGAGTCTGATCGCGAACACACAGCTGCAGTTACCTGAATGCAAGTCCCACCAGACGATGGACCAGATGATGAGAAAACGGTTTCAGGAGCCTCTGATTGGCTGTGCAGTGAGGAAGAGGAGGAGGAAGAGCCTCTCTTGCTGCTGCCTGTGTGTGCTTTGCTGTGTGTGCTTTGGTGTGATCAGCTCATATTTGTTCACCCAGTCGATCCGTTAATGTGGAGCAGGAACTCCAGTAGAACCAGAACTCCCAGCTCACAGGTTCGTTTGCACTTTTACTCCTTAATTAACAGGTTTAATCAACTTAACCAACGATATAATCAGTTCAGCATCTTCTTATGCAGACTCGTGTTTTAATGCTGTTTTTATTGAATGACAGGAGCAAAGTTTGCTGTGATCAGATGTTTTAATGAAGGATGATGTATTTCTGGGACCTCATGACCTTTACATGCTGTCATGATATTAAGAAACAATAAACAAATTAAAAACCTGTTTATTTTTTTTTCCAAAGTAAATTAAATGAGCCTGAGGTTCTTGGTTCTGAGGTTCTGGTCCAAAAAAAACACTGCAAAAGCTGCTGAGCCTATAAAGTTAATCATTCTTAGAAAAACTCTGATTGTTATGATTATCTAGGTTAAAGATTTTTTCTAAACTGTTGTTTTCTTTCATGTTTTTATCACTAACTGTTTACACCCTTGTTGGGTTTTCAGGTTTAGTTGCTTTAGTCTTCAGTTCTGTCACTGGGCTGTTTGCTTTATCATTATAACAATAATTTATTAACTTTTTTTTAATGCATTTTGCATTTTTAATGTCAAAGTCTTAAAACTGAGTCCTAAAATGTTTTTGAGGCGGTAGAAGGAGGTTTTGCAGAAGTGGGTCAAAATGCTGCACCTGTGTTTGTAACTGAAGAAGAAGGGCAACGTTTCTGCCCAGAGAATCAAAGGTATAGATTCTGTTTTTATACGTTTAAATTAAGATTAAGAAATTTAAGTTTATTCAAGCTTCATTTTCCGTGCATGGAGATGGATTGTGTTAAAGTTAAAGAGTCAGTTTTAATGTAAAGGAACGTGTCGTCTGCACAGCAGTGAAATGAAATCATGTGGTGAGTGATAAAGCTATGATTGGGAGGCAGTAATGAAAGGGTGGGCCAAGGACGGAGCCCTGAGGGACCCCACGGTTGACTGGATGAGTCCATAACACTGGCATCTAATCACTGGCATGGTTGACATTATTTTTGGTAAATTTTTCTATTCTTGTCTCAGCAGATACGTTCTTGTTGGGTACATTTCTACAGTTTTCCTCCCTTCCTTCCTCTATCAGTCCTTTTGTTTGCTTTTTAGGAGGGTTATTATTTTTGTTGTTTGTTTTTTAGTGTTTTGTGGGTCTTATGTTTCAAGTTCAGGTATTTATCATTTGATAAATGGCCAATTAGTTGTTCTGTCTGTTTTCAATTCTATTCAGTTTATTTCTATAGCTCCAATTCCCATCATGTCATCTCAGGTCACTTTCCAGTTCACCAGATCATCCAGTCAGATTGATTCAAAGGTTTCTATCTAAGGAAAACCAGCTGATTGCATCGACTCATTGACTCTTCAGCAATCCCTCACACTAAGCATGCTTGTAGCGACAGTGGAGAAGAAAAACTCCCTTTGAACAGGAAGAAACCTCCAGCAGAACCAGGCTCAGTGTGAGCGGCCATCTGCTGAGGCCCACTGGGGTTCAAGGAGACAGAAGCAGACATAGAAAAAGAAGCATAGATACAAAAGGCAACCAGCTCCACAGGCGGCCCCGTCCAGGAAACACACAGCCAGGCAGACGAGCTCCGAGCCAGCTCCCATGTCAGAGGATGAAGAGGTTTTCAGTTGAAAATCTCTGACCTTCTGTTTTGCTCTTTGCAGAATCTTTTGTTGTAATTTTCTGGGGTATTTAGTTGCTTCTGCTGGAGGGACTATTTTTCTCTGCTGGTCTGGGAGCGCCTTGGGATTTCCCCAGAGGAGCTGGATTAAAGTGGCTGTGGAGAAGGACGTCTGGGCCCCCTTACTGAAGCTGCTACCCCCGCTACCCGACCCCGGATAAGAGAAGGAAGATGGATGGATGAACGGACTGATGGGGGTTTTCTCTTATTGAGTAATTTCTTGTATTTCTTAGAGATTTTACTTTAAAATCTGCAGGAAAACTCCAGCAAACTCAGGCCAGTAAAGTTCCTGTAGTTTGCTTTCATATTGAAGGATGGTTTGGTGACAGAATTCCTTGGAGTAGATCAAGGACGTTGCGTTCCTGGTAGGGATAGAAACCTTCTAAATGTCCAGAGACTCTGCTGTTCTGGTTCATTGACTGACTGGTGTTGGTCTCTCAGCTGATCCGACATGTTGAACAGTCATAAAGTCAGAAACACCCAGAAACTCAAACATAGAGCTGAGCCTGAACACACCTGGTACCTGCTTTAATGTAAACATGATTTCAGCGGGTTCCTTTATGCGAGTCAAACGGAAACAATCCGCTGAGCTCCCAGTGATCGGAGGTTGAAATTAAATTTTCCGACCCACAGAGCCTCTTTGTTCGTTCTGCTGAAGCTCAGCTGAAAAACGTCTGGCGTGTTCAACCGGACCTCACGCTAAATTTGCATGTTGATGGAAACAGAAAGCAAACAAGCTGCAGCTCATTTTCATTCACGGCTGGTGGGGGGGGGGCGGGCTGCAGACCTTTAGCTCGTCTCTCATATGCCTCCATTAGAGAGTCGTCTGGTGCAGAAAACCCAATCCTAGATGCCTCAGAACCTGCATCTGGTTGCTCCACCATCACCTATCTGTTTGGTGTAGATCTATATGAAACCATCAGAACATAAACTGGTGAGTGACTTCTAACCATGAATGTATTATCCACCCTACAACTGTGAGGCGGTCATGTGATCCAGAACGGGTCTAGAACCAGATCTGAGTTTAAACCTGATGGGCGTTAACCCTTTATCTGCTGGCCGGTTTACTCTCCTCCTTTCTGGTCTTCAGGATCTTCTCTGGACTGTTTGGTGAGTCTCAGTGTTGGTGTCATTTCAGGGTCGGGTCGGATCCGTCGCTGTTTCAGAATTCTCCATGGCTGCATTGGGAGCAGAGGTGACCGGGTCCTGGTTCCTGTCTCCAGGGCTCTTCGGTCTCTTGGTTTTTCTCCTCCTCCTCTCCATCTTCCTCACCGCTCTCTGCAGCGACTGTAACAGGTCAGTTTAGGTTCTGCAGCAGCGTTTGTTCTTCAAACATCCAGCAGGGAGGAAGTAGTTTAATCTCCAGATATTCAGCCCATCCTATGAACCAGCTGAGAGTTATGCAGCAAGGTTCTGAGTGGGAACCTTATGGTGCCGAGCACTTCTTCTTTAATCCTGCAGAAATATTCAGATGATTCAACAGACCCAAGGTTTTCATGCTTACAGTAAGGTCAGAACCACTGACCCATGAAGATTCCTGGAGGCGAGGAGGTCAGAGCTGATAAACCAGCAGCTGGAGGAGACGAAGACTCATGAGAAACCATCAACGTCTCCATGTTGAAGAAAAGCTCTGAATGATGATTAGAAAAGGAACCAGATGGAAACCAAACAGCTTCATCAACAATGTCGTCTCTGTTTCAGACACTCGTTTGAGCTTCAGGACCCCAAGACAGAAAAAAACCCTTCAACTCTCATCAGAGTGGTAAGAACAGCAGAACCTCCCATCAGAACCAGAACAGAACCTCCCATCAGAACCAGAAGATGGGCCTGAACAAATGAACTGATCTGTAATCCGATTGGCAGGTGAGGCTGGAGGAGGTGAGGGAGAACCCGATGATGGGAGAGATCCAGAAGGATGAGGGAGGTGAGTCGGTTTCCTCCAGAGGTCTGACTGTGGTTCTGCTAAAAGTTCTGCAGAACCCGTTCAATCTGTGTTCATTTTCTGTTTCAGAGTTTCATCATGAAGGAGATCCGGCCGAAGCCTCAGACAGCCAGCAGGGGGCGCCGCAGACCCTGCCAGGTCAGACACAGGAATAAAACCAGAACTGAGGAGTAATAATAGATTTATTCAAATATCTGAAGCATCAGAATGAAACCAGCAGGGACCTTCAGCAGGAAGCAGGTCGGTTTCCTGCTGGGTCAGGTCCGGACTTGGTGCTGAAGTTCCTCCAGATCTCCTGGATGTGACATTATCTGGAAACACTCTGATGTCTGTCAGGAACCTGCAGGCATCCAGAACCCGACCCGCCTCTCCAGCAGACCGGCCTGATTTTAGGCCCGACTCCGATCCTTAACCTCCGGATAGATTAACTCATTTTCATTCATGGACTGAGGGAAAGTTTAGGGGTGTTTGCACGTCAAATGATCCCTTCTTCCAGGGAACGGATGCAGGACAAAGAATCAGTTCTTAAAAGATATTTACATTAGTTACTTTAGTTACTTTAGTAACTTTGATCTCCGACAAATATTGGTCTGATCTCCATCTGGCCCAATCAGAGGCCTCTCTCTCTCTCTCTCTCTCTCTCTCGACCAGGGTCCCCAAACATTTCAGCCTCTGACCCCAAAATCTCAACACAACAGACTGAGGATCACATTAAATTACTCTAGATAAACAGAAATCATGTTATTTTTTAAATAAATGTGTTTTTAATGTCATTTAATTATTCAGTTAATTGTTTTAATGTATTTATATTAGTGAAAGAGATATGTCTTTATTTAAATGAGTAGTAAAGACTTATAGTGAAATTTATTCCATTATTGTTGAAAGAAAATATTTTTTAGGCCTGAATGGAAATTCGAAAAAAAGCTTTCTAGAAAAAAAAACACTTAAGAAAAAGTCCTGAATTAGACAAAGATTTTAAGACTTATTATTGTTTTCTTAGTTCTATTTTTTATTTATTTCAAAATGTATTTTTTTTTTCAATCTTTCTCAGATTAAGTTTTATGAACTACATTATTTTCAAATTCAGGGTTTCAGGGTCACTTCAAGCCCCCCGAAAAACCTGAGCCCCAAAATGTTCCTGCTAACATCCATGATTATATATACACTAACCGGCCACTTTATTAGGTACACCTGTCCAACTGCTCGTTAACACTTAATTTCTAAGCAGCCAATCACATGGCGGCAACTCAGTGCATTTAGGCATGTAGACATGGTCAAGACAATCTCCTGCAGTTCAAAGCGAGCATCAGTATGGGGAAGAAAGGTGATTTGAGTGACTTTGAACGTGGCATGATTGTTGGTGCCAGAAGGGCTGGTCTGAGTATTTCAGAAACTGCTGATCTACTGGGATTTTCACGCACAACCATCTCTAGGGTTTACAGAGAATGGTCCGAAAAAGAAAAAACATCCAGTGAGCGGCAGTTCTGTGGGCGGAAATGCCTTGTTGATGCCAGAGGTCAGAGGAGAATGGCCAGACTGGTTGGAGCTGATAGAAGGGCAACAGTGACTCAAATAACCACCCGTTACAACCAAGGTGGGCAGAAGAGCATCTCTGAACGCACAGTACGTGGAACTTTGAGGCAGATGGGCTACAGCAGCAGAAGACCACACCGGGTGCCACTCCTTTCAGCTAAGAACAGGAAACTGAGGCTACAATTTGCACAAGCTCATGGAAATTGGACAATAGAAGATTGGAAAAACGTTGCCTGGTCTGATGAGTCTCGATTTCTGCTGCGACATTCGGATGGTAGGGTCAGAATTTGGCGTCTACAACATGAAAGCATGGATCCATCCTGCCTTGTATCAACGGTTCAGGCTGGTGGTGGTGGTGTCATGGTGTGGGGAAAATTTTCTTGGCACTCTTTGGGCCCCTTAGTACCAATTGAGCATCGTTGCAACGCCACAGCCTACCTGAGTATTGTTGCTGACCATGTCCATCCCTTTATGACCACAATGTACCCAACTTCTGATGGCTACTTTCAGCAGGATAATGCGCCATGTCATAAAGCTGGAATCATCTCAGACTGGTTTCTTGAACATGACAATGAGTTCACTGTACTCAAATGGCCTCCACAGTCACCAGATCTCAATCCAATAGAGCATCTTTGGGATGTGGTGGAACGGGAGATTCGCATCATGGATGTGCAGCCGACAAATCTGCGGCAACTGTGTGATGCCATCATGTCAATATGGACCAAACTCCCTGAGGAATGCTTCCAGCACCTTGTTGAATCTATGCCACCAAGAATTGAGGCAGTTCTGAAGGCAAAAGGGGGTCCAACCCGTTACTAGCATGGGGTACCTAATAAAGTGGCCGGTGAGTATATATATATGAAAAAAATAACTTATTTGAGAAAAATGTTTTAAAATTTGAGAAAACAGCAAAGTTTGTTCACTTCCAACAATAATTGACTTAAATTAATTTCAAAGAAGCATTTTATCTTTTTAGTACATTTAAATAACACTTTTTGATGAACCTCGACTATTTCTGTGTCAGTTAAGAATAACTTCATAAAGTTAACCCTAAATGCGAATACTTGTGCAGATTTTGACAACAGATCCTATTGGATGAGGATAGATCTGCAACATAATTAACCAGTTTATAGTCACGTCCCAGCAGGCCTGTTGAACTTTTTAAAATGTAGATTTCTGTAGCTGAGAGACGAGATCAACATCAGATCAATAAATATATAGGGAACTTTAATTAGATAACTAATCAATATTACTGAAGCTTTAAATGGTTGAAAATGGCAGGTTTGGACTTTAAGGTGGAAATTTGACAAATTAATATTTCAGACCTGGTTTTATAAATAGTGAAGAAAAACGACACAACCGAACATTTTAAATTCATCCCAATTAAAATGTGTCGCCTCAAATAACAAAAAAACATTAAATAGTAGTGGCTAAGATGTTGAAAGCTAGCGTAATAAACTATTTTTATTTTATCTAATTTATAAACATCTTGTGATTTAAATTTTTTTGGCTTAAAAGTTCAGAGGTAACCGATGGTCCTTCAGGTAATTTATTGGGCTTTTCAGTGTGAATTTAATCAATAAATGAACGTTATGTTTACTTGTCTACATTTATTTAATAAAAATGTACATGTGTGAATTCAGGAAATACTTTAACCTCATTATTTCTCAGGGATTAAAGTTCAATGATTGTCAACCTACTCTAGGCATCATCTTCATCGGTGAAACTCCTCTCAAACATAAACCAACAACTAACCAGCTGTTAGTTTAATTAGGTTACTAGTCAGCTTCAGTGACCGATGCTCTATACGGGAATCTGATATCCCGATATTTTCTTCCAGACATACGAACAGACACTGTAGTTTTCTTTCTTGTTCATGTTCATAATTCTATTATAGATCTTTCCAACACAAACCAAAACCGATTGATCGTTAAAAAAAAATCAGCGTAATACACAGAATCCGAGCTGATGGTCCGTTTTGAGCCTAAATAGAATTCCAGCATCGCTCACAAACATAAACTGCTGTGCTGCCATCTGCTGGCCGAACCATTGAACTAACAGGAAGCCAGATAGTGATTATTAAATAAAGCCCAACTGTCCTGCGATGTTTTACCACAGTTCATGTGGTGGAAACTGATTTAATGAAATAAATCCATCTATAGCAAAGATCTTCTATCAAGGAGAAAGAAAAATTCAGACATGGACACAGCATTAACATAACAATCAATTTATCTATTTTTTATCTATATATAATATTTTTTTGTATTTAGACTGTAGAAACTAAGAATAGCGTCTCTAGTATCTGTATTAATGAGGATATTTTCTCACTAATCAATCAACCAATCACATCTCAGCGCCTTGGCAGCTTCTGGGAACTTTCCTCCTCTTTTTCCCAGAGCTGTTTCACTTTTATCCCTCTTGGAATCAAACACCTGATCTCTGACATTTTCTTTATTATTTTCACACTTTCCTGAAAGATGCTAACTGGCTTAGCCACAATAGGCTACTTCCTTGCTTAACATACATGAAGGGCTTTATTTTCTAGCAGAACAAAAAGTAAGAAACAAAAAGAACTAAAAATACACCAATAGGTGGTGAAACAAACTAACTCAGGTAAAGCTTTAAAACAAATGATGAAATCATGGAAAGAGACGTACTGCTTCGAGGGCACACGGCGAATGCAGAACAAATTAAATAATCTTATAAATATAAAACACCCTGGGGCAAAAAATATGAACATCTGCAGAAGATATTCTTGGTTTGTTCGGCTGCCCAGCGGTAGACAATGAAAATTTCTGTCATTGTTTCCATGGCAGCAGAGAAACGTTCAGCTCCTGCTGTCCTCCAACATGGCTGACAGTAATATGACGTCATATTACTGAGAAATGATCCTTCTGATTATTCATTGAGCTGTTTTTAGAATCCATTCTATGAAAGTCAGTATTAGGATTTTATTTCTCATTATTCTTGCTTTCAGACCCAAACTCCTCAGAGGGAACCTCAGCAATTGCCCCCCCCTGGAGGAGCCACCTGGGGGCGCCAACGAGCAGAGGTGAGGAGCTTTCCAAGATACAGCAGTGATGGATTCAGAGCTGCATGGTGGAGCAGTGGGCAGTCCTGCTGCCATGCAGCAAGAAGGTTCTGGGTTTAATTCCCAGCCGGGGGTCTTTCTGCTTGCAGTTAGCATGTTGTTCCATAGCATATGTGGGTTCTCTCTGGGTACTCCGGCTTCCTCCCACAGTCCAAAAACAGTTCGGTTAATGGGCTTCTCTAAATTGCCTTTAGGTGTGAGTGTGTGGGCATGGTTGTGTGTGTTTGACGGATTCATTGAGCCACTGATCAGATTTTAAACTGTCTTTCTTCTCAGATCTGAATGGCTCCACCCCTCAGGCCTCTGACCACACCCCCCACACCGCTGGAGAAGGGCGGGGCAACAGTAGGGAAACCAATCGTCTGTCGACGCAGCTGAATTACATCTCTCCCCCTGACGACAAGAACTCGGTTTATGCCCGAGTCAGCAAGAAGCTTCGTTTGGCCAACTCAGCTGCTCCCACAGCCGAGGAGGCGGAGCCACAGCTGAAGGAGCGCACCCCCCCACTGCCTGACAGGAGTACATGGGTGGAGGACAGAGAGCGCCAAGGAGGCTACACATTCATGTCCTAACAACCTGCAGGGGGCGCTGCGGCAGCAAGCTTCAGATGTTTCAACATCACCTGAAGTTCAGCTGGAGATTTGAAGAAGATCTTCATAATAAAAGCACCCTTCAGAATAAAAGTCTTCAGTGATGACCATGGTGCAGCTCTAAACCACAGAACTGTCCAAAGTGAGGCTCACCTGAAGCTTCAGCCCAAACCCGATCCGTGTCAGCAGGTCCATGCAACCAATGACTCCTTTTGTTCAACTCTTCTAATCACCTGGAGGTGATGGGATGACTCCACACTGCTGCTGCTTCCTGTCCATCCACAGGGGGGCGCTGGACTACAACAAAACCAACCCACAGGGATTATTTTCAAACTGAGGGATTTAATCCGGCCGCGGTTAAATGTTGTTTGCTTCTCATATTTGATTGGTCCAATCCTAAGGAAGGTCTGAAGTGTTCTGGTCAGTTGATCCTCGGATTAGATGTTAGTCGGCCTCAACCGTTAAAATACAGAAGAAGAAGAAATGTGGAAACTGAAATTTTTCTTTATTCTGATCGTCCACAAGAGAGCAAATAAAATTAAAGGTTATAATTGTTGATGGTCCTCCTCAGATGTGACTTCAGAACGATCACTGAGTCTGGGAGCGGCCATCTTTGCCCAAATATAGTAGCCCCTCCCTCCTGCCATCTTCCAGCAGTGACGTCACGGTGCGGTAAGCCTAGCGCCATTCTCCCCGCTTTCCAAGCTAAATCAATGGGAACTACTAGACACATCTGCAATCAACAACAATTATTGAAGATTTCCAGAGGACTTCACCATTGAAATTCACCAGAGCTATAGTGAAACTGACAATGCCCACGTGCATGGCAGCTGGATGCTGGAATACATCGGGTAAAAGTGAAAAAAAGAGTTATTCCACCTTTCTGATTCCTGATCCTCCACGGACGGGTTGGTCGTTGGATCGCCAACTGGAAGAGGGAGGATTTGCCATCGAACTTCTGGCCAGAGAAAAAACCCGTAATATGTAGCCAACATTTGGAAGAAGAATGTTTTCAAGATGACTTGGATAATAGCGCGTTGTGACAAACACCAGATACAGCACTGGGACTTGATCAACAGCCGATACCGCACCGTGACAATGTCACTAACCAGTAGGTGGCAGTAGTGTTCTTTGACAAACATGGATGCCTCCAGTAAAGCACATTCACATGAAAATGACTCTGAATTAAAAACACTGATCATTTATTGAACAGGATGGAATCATTTTATTAATTTTAATAATTTTAATAAAACCCTTATCATCACCTCCTGGAGGCTCCCACAGCAGTGATCTGTTATTTATTGTTGACATTTTTTAATGAATTGTTCCAATTTGTGCGAAGAACCAAATGGACGCCAGGGACTTAGAGTCCAAACTGAGGTTAGCTGAGCGTTTGCAGCCTGAACATGTTCAGCAGCAGCAGGACTGTGGGATGCACTGACCCTTCTTCAGACAACTGTGAGGTCACCAACTGCTGTTGGACAAGATGCTAGCTCTCAACCTCCACTGTAATTAAACTAAAGGTTTGGGTTTGGCTCCAGCACATCCGCACCAAACTCCCTAAAGCCGGGCTTACACTGTATGATTTTTTCAATTGTTGCAGACAGCTAATGTACGACCAAAACGCAGCGTTTAAAAGTTCACAGCTCACGATGCATGATGTCACACTGTGCGACCCGACGCTCTGATGCAGAATCCAAATGAAAGCCGGAAGCCAAACGCGTAGCAGAGGAACATGAAGCTAACCAGAGTGAAACCTGCTGCCTTGGATATTTGGGTAATTTAGAGCTGAAAGCCTAAAAAGGGCTTCTGTGTTTTCATCTGAGAGGAAGAAGAAGAAGAATCCTTGTTTGCCCACTGAGCCATTTGCCCACGACCACCTTAAGACGGCCGACTGATTTTCATACGTTTGATTTTCTCCTGACCTTAAGATTCCTGATGGGGGGGTGGTCGTTAGAGGCTGATCATCCCTCGTTACCCCGTGGTCACTACACCACGCACCATCAGGCTGACAGTCGACCTGATCGGAAAAATCGTCCCGAAAAGGGCCAAAAGTCGTACAGTGTAAGCCCGGCTTACTGCGTGTTTTTAACCCTTTGTAGGGCAAGTTAGCGTTTTTGATCACTTGCAGCCCCCTTAGTAATGGAGTCCCCCCCCCACCCCCACCCATCACTCAGTGAGGTCTAGAAGCACAGATCTATATCCAGATATTCAGCATAGATCCTGCTACATGGCTGCACATCTGATTTTGACATTAGACCAATTAGATGATCCCTTGATTGATAGATTATCTACTAGAAATTAAATTGAAAAAGAATAAATCAAGAAAAAAAAAGGTAATACCGGTAGGCTAATTGAAAAGTTCAAAATTAAAGTTAAAAAGCCTCGTTAACAATTATCACCATTAATGGCTCTAAGGTTATGTTGAACCAAAAATAATGTGTTTCTTTCTCTCTCAGAGTGTTTTTCTTATAGAAGAACTTTTGTTATTTTTCTTAATATATTCGGGCAAGTTGGTGTTTCTTGTTATTACAATGAAATTAATTCATTTTTTGACATTCATTTTTGCCATGAAAGATATCCATATTTTTGAATGTTCCAAAGGTAATAAGGTCTGGTCCTGGATTCCAGTAACACTATTGGCTAAAATCTGGATTTTCAAAGTATTTCACTGAGTTCCCTATAAAGGGTTAAACAGGTTCTGATGGATTCTGACTGATCGCAAACGCAGCCTGTTGGGAAACTGATGGTGGGTCAGTGCCTCTGATCCCAGAACCTTTTCCAGGTCCAATTAAAGGTCCCTTTTCCAAGTCCAATTAAAGGTCCATTTCCAGGTCCATAGCCAGGTCCACATGACTGAAACATGTCCGCTCCAATCAGGTTGACCAACTTTAGATCGGATCAGAGTTTTTTTATATTTTATTTCTGATCGACCTCTGAAGACTTTTATTCTGAAGGGTATAAAGACCCATTTAGCTGGTTCTGATCTCCTGTCAGATTCCCTTTCTATGGTCTGAATAATTAACCCCCCCCCACCGGTCGCCTCCCACAGAAGGAGTGATGCCACCAGAACTTCCTGCTGAGTCAGAGGTTGGTTCAGAGTTCAGCTGTGAAACGAGTCAGTGAGCACGTCCAGCTGCAGCTTCTAGGCCGGGTCCAGGTCCAGGTCCAGGTCCAGGTCCAGGTCCGCTTCGTCCTCCAGATGGACGAACAAAACAAAAGCAGCTCGGCTGAAACTCAGGCAGGAAACTCTGGAACAAACGGAACAAACAGCAGAACCTGAGGAGCCCAATCCGCTGAGCACGGAGGCTCCAAACGTTCAGACGGTTTCTATACCTTATAGCCGGTCACTGAGCGCCTGCTGCCTACAGGGGGCGTCGCTGCAAAAACTTTTATTAGTTAACAAAGACAATTTACCATTGGAATAAGATCGTTGATGTTTAAAATAAGAAAACAAATCTAGTTTCTTATTTTAGGAGAATAGTATTAAACATAATATTTTAAGGGCAAATATATTAATTCCATTAATATTTATCTGCTCTCAGTAAGTGGAAACACAATTATTTTAGGAAGTTTTCACTTATTTTCACTCCCAGTTTTGCAGTGGAGAGGCATGGTACACACATTTTATCATTTTGCTATATGTATGAGGACTATGCATCGACTAACATTGATTTTCAGTCATTTCATCCTTTCATTGCTCTGACTTTAACAATAACTCTAAACCGAATCAGTGCATACCAAACCCTAACCTGAACTCTATTCACACCGCCGTCCTAAACCTACAAATAGGAAATGAATCGTCCTCACTCTGACGGTGAAGTCATTAAACTGGTCCTCACTCTGATGGTGAAGTCATTAAACTGGTCCTCACTCTGATGGTGAAGTCATTAAACTGGTCCTTACTCTGATGGTGAAGTCATTAAACTGGTCCTCACTCTGATGGTGAAGTCATTAAACTGGTCCTCACTCTGATGGTGAAGTCATTAAACTGGTCCTCACTCTGATGGTGAAGTCATTAAACTGGTCCTCACTCTGATGGTGAAGTCATTAAACTGGTCCTCACTCTGATGGTGAAGTCATTAAACTGGTCCTCACTCTGACGGTGAAGTCATTAAACTGGTCCTCACTCTGATGGTGAAGTCATTAAACTGGTCCTCACTCTGATGGTGAAGTCATTAAACTGGTCCTCACTCTGATGGTGAAGTCATTAAACTGGTCCTCACTCTGATGGTGAAGTCATTAAACTGGTCCTCACTCTGATGGTGAAGTCATTAAACTGGTCCTCACTCTGACGGTGAAGTCATTAAACTGGTCCTCACTCTGATGGTGAAGTCATTAAACTGGTCCTCACTCTGACGGTGAAGTCATTAAACTGGTCCTCACTCTGACGGTGAAGTCATTAAACTGGTCCTCACTCTGATGGTGAAGTCATTAAACTGGTCCTCACTCTGATGGTGAAGTCATTAAACTGGTCCTCACTCTGACGGTGAAGTCATTAAACTGGTCCTCACTCTGACGGTGAAGTCATTAAACTGGTCCTCACTCTGATGGTGAAGTCATTAAACTGGTCCTCACTCTGACGGTGAAGTCATTAAACTGGTCCTCACTCTGATGGTGAAGTCATTAAACTGGTCCTCACTCTGATGGTGAAGTCATTAAACTGGTCCTCACTCTGATGGTGAAGTCATTAAACTGGTCCTCACTCTGACGGTGAAGTCATTAAACTGGTCCTCACTCTGACGGTGAAGTCATTAAACTGGTCCTCACTCTGATGGTGAAGTCATTAAACTGGTCCTCACTCTGACGGTGAAGTCATTAAACTGGTCCTCACTCTGACGGTGAAGTCATTAAATTGGTCCTCACTCTGATGGTGAAGTCATTAAACTGGTCCTCACTCTGATGGTGAAGTCATTAAACTGGTCCTCACTCTGATGGTGAAGTCATTAAACTGGTCCTCACTCTGATGGTGAAGTCATTAAACTGGTCCTCACACTGATGGTGAAGTCATTAAACTGGTCCTCACTCTGATGGTGAAGTCATTAAACTGGTCCTCACTCTGATGGTGAAGTCATTAAACTGGTCCTCACTCTGACGGTGAAGTCATTAAACTGGTCCTCACTCTGATGGTGAAGTCATTAAACTGGTCCTCACTCTGATGGTGAAGTCATTAAACTGGTCCTCACTCTGATGGTGTAAACTGGTCCTCACTCTGATGGTGAAGTCATTAAACTGGTCCTCACTCTGATGGTGAAGTCATTAAACTGGTCCTCACTCTGATGGTGAAGTCATTAAACTGGTCCTCACTCTGATGGTGAAGTCATTAAACTGGTCCTCACTCTGATG